AGTAGATGCCATGCCTATAGGCCATCACGTAGGCAAACAAGTATGTCGTTAATTAATTGCACTGGTATTCGATAAGTTGCAGCCAGGCGAGCCTAATGCGAACTTCTTGCCTGAAAATATGTAATGAACCAGCCTGCCTAACGTTAAGCATAATTTCGACCTAATCAGTGCATGTAAGACATGCTAAACTACATGATTTTCTGTGATTAAAGGAGGTTTATCTGAGCCTTAATTGTTTTGTGCTCCCATAACTGCTTTCATGTATTTTGTTTGACGCCTTAGTATTTTAACCTTTTTAAACCTCTGAAAAGCCAAGCTTCTTCCCTTTAGGATTAGTAGTCCTAAAAGCCTCCAGGACTGATAGGTGGGACGAGTAATAGCATGCAATAAGTAAACGAGACTATTTCGCGCTTAATACCTTAACGGGGTGGGAAGGGTAGACATGGAGATGATGATCACACGATAACACTACGCGTACAATTGATTACCGGTGTTGTGTGGATGATCCATGTGATTAATAAACCCAGGACCCCTTTTTTTATACAACTTTGTTTAATATCTATAAAATCCTGTCTTTTCAACTACTCAAAACTCCTCCTTAATTTTACTGCATTATGCCTTTTCTTCCAAATTTTCTTCTTTGTTTATTCAATGTATTGATTAATTTTCTGCGTTTTGTCCCCCTTTTAAACAAATTGTAGATCATCTAGACCTTGATCCCATATACTTGTCACGTATTTATTTGCAACCCTTATGTGTAAAATCCTTTGTGTATCTATTTGCATTAAAGTCACAACATAACATGGCCGGGAACCACACTAGTGGATCTTGAGGGGTGCCTAACACCTTCCCCTTGAGATAATTTCTAGACCTTACCTGAACTCTGGTTTTCCAACTCAAAACCCTTCTTAGTGTCCTAATGCACTCAATCACTAGGTGGCGACTCTTCAATTCCAAAAACCCAATTCCCCAACGGGAATAGAGTTGTCTTCCCGAATGTCGTAAACCCGATTTCACGAGAAAAAGGGGGCGTCGACAACACCTGGGAGTAATACAAATACTGAAGAACCTATTGAGCCACCTACTGAACCAACTCAAAATGCTGCTGAACCACCTATTGAGCCGCCTACTGAACCAACTCAAAATGCTGCTGAACCACCTATTGAGCCGCCTATTGAACCAACTTTGAATGATGCTGAACCAACTCACAATTCTTCTGAACCAACTGTAAATGCTGCTGATGGAGATGAACCGCCAGACCATAATGTTAATGAAGATGGAGTGCAATCAGATGTTGAGAGTATTGAATCAGAAGAAGATGTTCTTCCTGAAGAAGATGATTCAGATGTTGATGATGAATTAAGATCTTTAAGGGCTGAAAGGAGGAGCAAGAGGCAGGGTAAGCAGAGGAAAAAAACCAATTGCAACAGATGAGATACCACTAGGAGAAGCAGGAATTGACAGAGGATTTGAGGATATTGGAAGAAACAAGACTTCAAGATATGTAGGTAAATTAGGTGGTGGTGAGCAGTTTATTGATAGTTCAGAGGCTGATAGTGAAGATAGCACAGAAGAGTTAGATCCTGAAGCTATTCCTGGTGTTGATATACCAGCAAGAAGGAGGAGTACAAAAGTCAGGTATGATCCTGATTGTGAAGTTGCTATATTTGAACTTGGGATGATTTTTTAGAATGCTATAGAGTTTCGGAAAGAATTAGCAAATTATGCAATTGAGTACAAGGTGCAGATTAAATTGAGACCAAATGAACCACATAGGGTGAGGGCTAAGTGTAAATCAAAGAGATGCAAATGGGTGTGCTATGCTTGTATTGATAGAGATTCGGGTGATTTTAAAGTAAAGAACTACTACCCAGTACACAAATGTGATACTTCAAACAAGAATAAGTTGTGCACTTCAAAGTTGTTGCAAAGAAATTCAAAGATGAAATAACTAAGCAGCCCCACATAAGGATATGGGAAATACAGGAGTTGTGTAGGGACAAGCTAGGATTGTATGTTGGAAAGACAATTTGTTATAGGGCTAAACTGCGTGTTCTCAGAGAGTCCATGGGTGATTGGAATATGGAGTTTGCAAGGTTATGTGATTATGCTGATATGATAAAACAGACCAATCCTGGTAGCTCATGTTGGGTAAGGATGGACAGTGAAACTGAGCCAGGAAAAAATCTCTTTGTTTACTTTTATGTGTAATTTGATGCATTGAAGAAATGTTGGTTAGAAGGATGTAGGAGAATCATAGGTTTTGATGGTTGTTTCTTAAAGGGTGCTTATAAAGGTGAACTTCTAGTTGCTATTGGCAAGAATGGAAATCAGCAAATGTTTCCTATAGCATGGGCAGTTGTGGACCAGGAGACAAAACATAGCTGGAGTTTTTTCATCAACTACTTGAAAGATGATTTGCAATTGGGAACTGGAGAAGGATTGACTGTGATGGCAGATATGCAAAAGGTAAGTATTCAGTTCTGTTGTCTCTTAAGTAGTCTTTTAAGTAATTAAGTATTCTGTTATGTTGTTAATTAGCTGTTCATTAGCATTCTGTAGATGTTGTATTCTGCTGTATTCTGCTGATGTTAAGTAATTAGAGGTTAAGTAATTCTGTTGTTAAGTATTCTGCTGTTGTAGTGATATGCTGCTGTAATTTGAATTAATTATTATGTAGGGATTTGCTGCAGCTTTGAATGAAGTTTTACCCAATGCTGAATTTAGGATGTGTGCCAGGCATATCTGGTCTAATTGGCATAAAAAATGGAAAGGAGAGGAAAGGAGAAAACAGTTTTGGAGGTGCTCTAAATCTAGTTATGAAGTTAAGTTTAAAGAGGAGCTTGATAACTTGGACAAACTTGGTAAGGATATTTGTAGGGATTTGTTATATTATCCAAAAAAAGTCATGGGTTAGAGCTTATTTTGAAGTGCATTCCAAGTGTGATGTTGTTTAAAATAATATGTGTGAGTGATAATTCATGGATTTTAGCTTCTAGGCATAAATCAATTATAACTATGTTGGAGGAGATTAGAAGGAAAATAATGACTAGGCAAGTGGATATGTTGAGATTTGCTGATACTTAGATATCTGATTTATCACCTATGGCAAGGCTATTGTTAGAGGATAGCAAAGAGCTTGCTAGAAAATGTACTGTCCTTTGGAATGCTGATGTTGGATTTGAGATTGGAGAAGGACTGCATAAGCATGTAGTTAATCTGACTGATAAGGTTTGCACTTGTAGAGCTTGGCAGTTGAGGGGTATTCCATGTCAACATGTTGTTCTTGCATACTATCACATAAATGAAGAACTTGAACAGGCAGTGGAGCATTGGTATAAGAGGGATACCTTCTTAAAAGCATACAAGTATTTCATCCAGCCTATGACAAATATGAAGATGTGGCCTGAAACCAACAATCCTAAGATAGAGCCTCCCAAACCTAAACCCATGCCTGGTAGACCTCGGAGGAACAGAAGAAAAGGCAAAGATGAACCAAAAAAGAAATATGGAAAGTTGTCCAAGTGTGGAGTGAAAATGACATGTTCCAAGTTCCATCAACAAGGACATAACAAAAGATATTGTAAGGTAAATGTTTCTTGTCAAATATTTCCTATTGTTCATATGAATCTAGTAATTTGCTGAAAATCATTGTTATGTAATCTGTTGCTCAATGTTATGTAGGCTGAAAACTGGATGCCTTCACAGCAAGGTAGCCAAAGCTCACAAGGTGCTAGTCAACCTGATGCAGCTGGAAGCTCAAGCCAACCTAGAAACTCTGTGTGTTTTGATACAACAAGGGTTAGAAGGGTTAATGAAGCTAGAAGCTCAAGCCAACCAATACCAAGTTCAGCAAATTCGAGCAGGCCTGCTAGAAGAGGATTAGGTAGTCAACTTCCTCCAAAGGGTAAAGCAACTACCAGCCAAAAGAGAGGAAGGGGTGCAAGTAAAGAAGATGCTGAAAAAGGAGCACAAAAAAGGTCCAAAAATGTTGGATTTGGCATCTACACAGCTGCAAGTGGAACTCAAATACTAAATGTATATATTCATACATATTTCATCTATAATATGACTTAGAAATAACTTACTAATTGTGGTTCATTATTTGGCAAACTGCAGCCCGGAACATCAAGCCAACGAGTTATTGCAAGTGGTTCAACTTATAAGAGTACAGCTCCAACAGGAATTGACCTTGGTTTTAAGGCTAGAGGCTTGAGGTGGAAGGGTCAAGATGCTGTCACAACTTCCCAGTTGCAGCAGATGAAGGCAAACTTCAGCAAGAAGTAGTATCTTAGGAACTTATTTTGTCTATATGTTATGTAGCAGCAACCTATTATTTTTTGGGATCTAGTTTTTAAAAGAACTGAACTTTAATGGTTGTATTCAGTCGTGTAATGTTAATGTTCTGTTTTGGATATATGTTATGTAGCAGCAACTTCAGCCTTATTTTGTTTGTCTTGGCAGAATAGTTACTCTATGTTCTGAATAATTAGTCTATATAGCAGCAATTTCAATCTATATGTTCTGAATTTTGAAACTGCATCTTATGGTTCTATGCCTTGTACAGAAGTTGTACATTACAGCACTTTCAAAATTCAGCAGCTGTATATTACAACAGCAGATTCAAAATTTAGAAGTTTATAACAAAATTCATAATTTTATAACAAAATTCAGCTGAATATTGTTTAAAGCAACATCACCAACATTACATATTAATCAAAAACACCTACCAACCAATAACACCTACAAAACCAACAACACCTACAACAACCAAAGTACATCAGTCATACAGTTTCCACAAAACGACCAATAATGCAACAACAATCGTCAAAACGATCCGTCTTCTCTTTGCTCGAACTTTCTCCTCTTCAAAAGCTTTGACTCTCTTTAACAAACCCCAAATTACATTCTTCGCTTGAGTAGGCATCTCATCGTCATACCAACAGAAATAATTACATCCACCCTTTTTCTACAAATATCACAAAACACTTTTAATCAATTTTTATCAAAGAAAATAATTCATAAAACAGAATTTACAAATTATGAACAAACAATTTACCTTTCCGATTTTGCAAGCAAAAAACCTATGACCTGGGTTTAATTGGGTCCAAGAAGTATTCAACTTTGGAGAAACACCACACTTACAGATTCGAGCGGCAGCGCAAAGTGACATTGAAGAGTTCGTCGATTCCGATAAGTTCGACATTCATAAACACGGCAACAAGAAAAATGAGAGGAAGAAGAGAAGAGAAGAAATTAATTGATACCAAGAAGAGAATACAAACGAGAGAAAGAAGAGAAGAAAAGAAAAGAAAAGAATTGACAAGAACTGAAGGAGAATTGCTGGAGAAATCTAAGAAGAAGAGAAGCGAACAAATAGGGCTTTTAAGAATTGGGAAAGGGATTAGGGTTTAAATAATAATTGACAATAGATGTTACCGTTATTTGTCTAATTGGGAAAGGAAAAATCTCCAATTTTCAGCCTTCACGCGCCTAAATAGGTTTGAAGTCACGCTATATGCCACTAGCAAAAAACGTGTCTAATTGGTATGAGGATTGCCTAAGAAACGTGTCTAAGTGGAAAGAGTCCTAATTTAAGTGTCTAAGTGAAAGATCGTGCCAACTTTAGGTGTCTCCGTATGTATTACGCCTATAATCAACTCAATTAAATTGAATAAAACCTAAACTACCCTTGTGCATCTATCTTTCTTATTATCATTGTACATCCTCTTTGTGAGATGAAGGCATTTAATTATTGTAGGATACACAATACAGCTTAAGTCGTGCTAGTACTGTTCTAAGAAATTATTTCAGCAGTGTAAATTTTTTTATAAGGATTAAATAACCATATTTCTATTTATATTAGAGGTTTCTAAATAACAAATGTAGTGCCTATTTATAGGCTTCTGGATGGGTCAATTGCATGAAAAGTGTAAAACACTTGTCTACAATTAACTATTAAAAATGCCTCTGAAGTGCTTAGGTGAAACATGGTTTTGGTAAAACATTTGTCAAGAGAAGCTTTGAATTATTGCCATATTAATAACACAAGGTAAATGCGTGAGAGTCTCAAATTTTATGACAAACTATGGCGAAGAAAGAAAAGGCAAGGAATCAAGAACAAGAAGATTTTGCTCCTTGCTTTCTGTCGTTGGGTAACTTCTTGTTTTTTTGGGTGCTCTTCCCTTCGGTCCACTTTAATTGATTTTTTGGTTGTTTTCGCACATATTAAGAAATTCATCTTTTAGCATTAATTAACAATGGAATTGACCATATTAAACTTAATTTGTTTCTTGAAAATACAACAAATACTACTAGACTCTTTACTCCAAGGGCAACTTTGGAACAAAAAAATTAATTCTTTCTTAATATTTAAGAATATTAACTATTATGGACCACAAAAAAAGGTTAAAAGATCAATTAATGTGGATCGGAAGGGAGTACGAACAAAAGGAGATTATTTAAATTTTACTAATCAAAAGCAATAGAAACAATTCCAATTTGTCACACGAGGTTTCATCTCTCTAGCACTTTGTCCCTCAACTCTTTTCGTGTATTTGGTTGCAATTATCCAGTTATTTGGCATAAAGCCAAAGCCAACGACATAGACTAAGGGGGAAGTGCACGGTTAGCCACTAATAACACATGTATTTACTTTTAAGCCACTGTTTAAAATGTCTTTAGTTTTTAGCCACAACTTTAATAAACTTTAACTGCCCGGACGAAAATGCCCTTCTGCTTATGTCCTTAACTTTTGAACTTAAGTTCAGGACTTCAGGACTACATGTCCTTAACTTTTGAACTTGGAACTCTAAGTTCAAGACTTCAGGACTACATGTCCTTAACTTTTGAACATGTCCTTAACTTTTGAACTTGGAACTCTAAGTTCAGGACTTCAGGACTACATGTCCTTAACTTTTGAACTTGCAACTCTAAGTTCAGGACTTCTGGACTACAAGTCCTTAACTTTTGAACTTGGAACTCTAAGTTCAGGACTTCACGACTACATGCCCTTAACTTTTGAACTTGGAACTCTAAGTTCAGGACTTCAAGACTGCATGTCCTTAACGTTTGAACTTAACTTCAGGACTTCAGGATTACATGTCCTTAACTTTTGAACTTGTAACTGTAAGTTCAGGACCAAGTGTCCTTAACTTTTGAGCTTGTTAGTCTAAGTTCAGGACCTATTGTCCTTAACTTTTGGGCTTCTTAGCCTAAGTTCAGGACCTATTGTCCTTAACTTTTGATCTTGTTAGTCTAAGTTCAAGACTTCAAAACCTATTGTCCTTAACTTTTGAACTTGTAACTGTAAGTTCAGGACCTATTGTCCTTAACTTTTGAGCTTCTTAGTCTAAGTTCAGGAAACTAAAACTCAAGACCAACCACCCTTTCACTGTTTGAGGATCCAGTACTGCATTTTTTATCCTCGTCTAGTTGACTTCAGATTAATTTTAGCAGTATGTCTTTTCCTTTTGTTGATTTAAATGTGCAACTTTTACATCTGCCTTGATTTGCCTAATTTTTGACAGCAGAATGAAGTATATTTGCAAAAGAAATATAAAATTCTTTCTCAATTTGATGTAGTGTTATGGTGTGTGCTAATTTGGGAATTATTGAGACATGGCAATAACTGTTTGATTGAATGACAGGTTAAGGAAGACACCAGATAAGGTTATGAGTCAAAAAGGCGAACCAGGGACTAGATCAAACTCTCTGTCATCTAGGTAAGATCTCTGACATTCTTTTCTGAATGGCGAGGGTTTGGGAAGAAAAGCAAGGGAAGAAAGGTAAAAATATCTTTTCATATTAATTTTAATAGAGTAGTGGCTATTTTTGCTCAATATTAGAATTGCTGGATAAAAAATAAATACCACCTTAAATAGTGGCTACCCCATGCTATTTCTACCATAGACTAATCAAAACTTAATAAGGTCATGGACCCCCTTTTTGGTCAATACCCAAAATTTGATTTTGGGGTGGTGGATTAAGCTTTTCAAGTTTCAAAATGGTAGAGTTTTGCTCAATTAGAACAACATAAGATGTGAAAGCTCGTTAATTAGCATCAAGATTATTCTTGTCCTTATAGATATTTCATCTAGATATAAATTATACAAGCATTGTTATTTTTATGTTGTATCTAATATTAGTTAACAAAGAATTTTTTTTTTCGGTAAGTAAAGTAGATATTATCTATGTAGAAACGCAAGATAAGTAACTCTACAATAACTTAAGGTGGTTCGGTTTTCTAATAGCTTAAACAAAAGCCCCCATATATGAGTAAGAATTTCAATATATTCAATTGCATAGTACTACTTCCACATTTTCGTCTCTCCAGTAAAAATCTGATAGTCCAAAAAGCTAGAACAAAATTTACGAGTTTGAATTCATCAGTTAGATTTTCCTTTGCTTTTAATTAAATATGTAAAAAAACTACCTATATGTCTTCTAAAAGCTAAAAGATGAATATTATTATGTTTCTAAAAGTTACGAATGTGTTCTGTACAAGAGTCATTTTTTAAAGGCGTAATGGCCTCCTGGCCACTTAAACTTGTAGGATTTTTAAAAGCTGATACATGAACTTGCACTTTTCCCATTTGAACACTCCAACTTAATGCAATGAATACTAATAAACACATTTGACCGTTGACTATGCCTATGTGGAAGCGGCGCAACTGACATGGCTAAATTGTGTGCAAATCACGCTACAAAGGCGCGTGAAAGTATTGTTTTTATTAAAAAGAAAAAGAAAAAGAAAAAAGAGACATTTCCCTTTCCCCTTCTCTTTTCCCCTCGTCTTCCCTACCAAAGTCCCACCTCCCTTTCCCCCTCCCCCTTCTATTCTACCATATTAATAAAGTCAAGCATTTAATTTTGGAACATAGCCACTTCTAGCAAAACATAGAACACAACCCAAACAAAGGAAAAAGCTCAGAACCTTAGCACACCCCAACGCACTCGCGTAACTCCTTCGAAGATATCAACACCAAACTCCAAAAACCAGAAGAAAACTAGTCAATGCCAAGAAAACTAATCACTCATCACAACAAAGCCCTACACAAGAGCTACAAAAAATAATATTTAAGTTGACAGCCCTTCATTTGTTCCAAAATTTCCTGAAGAAAATAATGCTCAAGAGATCTCCCCAAAGAACAAGCAAACCCTTGTTCCAACAAACTTTCTAACTCCAGATGATATAGTCCAATCTCCAGATAGAACCTCTCCAGATTGCTATCCCTCCGAAATAGCCGCCGACTCGAGACCGGAGACAAGTTGCTCGATTAATTCATCGGAGTTTTCAGAAGCGAAAGACAAAAATAGCCGCCGGCTTTGTGAAGAAGCAGTTGGAAACTCGCCGGATCTATCACTGTTGCAATCACTCAAAGCTGAGGAACTTGCGTTAATACTGAGATCGGTGAAGGTTCTTCCCAAATAGGTGAAATTCGGTTGAACTTCAGTCTCCATTATCGGAGCTTATGTTTACAGTCTCCATTATCGGAGCTTCTGTTTACAGTTCGTGCCTAGGAGGTGAAGAATAAAAGAAGGGAGAGAGGAAAAAAAATAGAAATTTAATAAATTTAGAAAAAACTAGGGCCCACAAATTGGGACCTTGAAGATACAGGTGTCAATGAAATGTGAATGAATGGATGATGTGGCTATATAAAATATTAAATTAAATCTATGTCAACAGCAATTGAACAACACGCACCATCACAAGTGTTTATTAGTAGCCATTTTTTCAAATAAAGGTGTTCAAATAGAAAACTCAAGAGTTCATATATCGGCTTTACAAACTGATACAAGTTTAAATGGCTAGGAAGTTATTTAGCCTTTTTTAAACTGTATCGAGATGATAGCACTTTTGATCCTCATGTAGTAAATTCAAATTTCCTTGTAATAGATGAAGTCGTGAAACACACGTAACATTCAAATTCAATTAACTAAAATATGCATTATTCCCTTTATACATACACAATATATTGCAATTGTACTTTTTTAGCATAATACATGAACAATTAACTGATGTAATGGTCAATAAATTCGTTAAATTTGTAAGATTTACGGGCAGAGAGATACAAAATACAGATTTCAGTTAATTAAGAGTTAAATATCTTACCTAGATATCATTGTATGGTCAAAATTTGACCACCAGATGGTTATCATTAAGGGAAATGGTAAGGGGTCGACCAAGCCATGGTCGTGCCCACG